CCCCCCCCCCCCCCCCCCCCTTTTCTCTTTTTTTTTTTTTTGCTTTCTCTTTTATTTTTATTTTTCTTTAAAAAAAAAAAGGTGGCTGGTGTATGTTTAACAATCTATCTTGCCTCCTTCCCTTGGACGGGGTAAGATCCTTTCACACCCCTCACCTGGGGTCGAGATACCATCAAGATCCTCTTCTGCACAACCGCCCCAGGATCCACATATCAGAAGAAGAAAGAGTAAGGAAGAAAAACACGAGCTCCAAACCACGGATAGAGGCATCTGAGGTCAGAGAGAACTAAGGTAGTCTCTTATCAAAGCCAGTCCTGGATTGATATAAGAATCCCCCTCAAATTTCTGAAACATGATCCCATCCATCCGGGCCTGAACTACATCAGAGCATGATAAGTCTTGCAGCAGTTCCTTCAGTGTTCTGTCAACTCCAACCACAGAATTCCCTATGCTACTCAGGATTTCTGGTAGGGAAGGAGAAGGTCTTGACATCTCAGCTAGAGTAACCTGGATGAATGTATTCAAATTCATATTAGAACAGCAGCACAAGTTTGCTGACTCAATTTAGGTTCTACAGACTTCAGTATATCATGCATTCAACAATTTAAATCTTGAGAAAAAGAAGATAATATAAATCCTTCAGTTCTCACACAAAGCCGAAGTCTCCCAGATTGAAGGACCGATCACAGTAGGTGTTTGACTCATCAAAACAAAAAACTGACATAGATGTTTGTTCATTACAGTGCAGTGCCCTTGAAAAGTAAGAGCAAAGAAAAAGCTAGTCAATCACTTTCTCGGTTTTTTCCCTTTAATTTCAGGGTCTTTAATTATTAAGAGCATATCATTTGGCTGCACAAATGGCCATTTCAGAGAACATATGGGCCGAGTGTATTTCAACCCTAGGGATTTCATAAACTCAATTGGATCCATTGATAAGAACTAGTCGATTGCCATGTTTTACTAGTTGGCCACGTGACTACATTCTAACAGCAGCTGTCATTTCATTCCTCTTCAATGAAAAGAATGAAATGGGCATCCAGGCTGAATAATTGGAAGGTAGCCGGGCAGATTCTCAAACAATGTTCCAGTCCATATGTTGCAAATGTGAGTGCAATGCACTCTAACCCAAGATCAATGGTAAGCATAGGTCTAAACCTCTACCAAAATACAATTTGAAGAAAGGAAACTCTCATTTTCCTCTAGGCAGGCATCTGACAAGTCAGCTTGTCGAGAGATGATGAGGTGGCAAACACACAGGCCCACCTTGGGTTCCATTATACTAGTCACACTTATACATTATACTCTCTATGAAAGCATAGGCATGGACACAGTTAGAATCCATAGCTGATAATGCCAAAGCAGAAAATTCTTAAAAGTATGACAGATAGAAACACACATGCATACCGAGAAATTAAAATGTATAAGAGACTTGGCTCACTGACCATCGAAAGCCCTAACATGGTAACCAATTGACAATTAATGGAATGGATCCTTAAGCATATAAACCAATCTTGATCTATTTGCAACTACTTGCTCTAGTTAGTAGCTACTAACAAAAAATACTAATTTAAACAACAAAAAATACTAATTTAAACAACAAAAATATAAAAGCAAAAAATTAAAAAAAAAATGGTGTGCACGCCATAATGACAGTTGATTTTATAGAGCAAAACTTTATGAGGCAACAAGTACATAAAAAACAAAGCTCAATAAGTACCACTCCAACCACATTATTGTATCTATGTGTTATAGAGTTGCAGTTATTTCCTCCATAAGATAGTGTGTGGGTTTTTCGGACAAAATTCAACTTGATTTGACTCTGATACAATGCTATTTTTTAAACAAGTGTTAAATGTACTAGATGGATTTTTAGGAGAGTTACTAAAAAACGTTAAGCCCAACACTGTTAGTGTATGCATCCACAAGCTAGTACAATCATCATCCCACACCAAATAATTAAGATCACTCAATGTTCATGTCAATGGATTTTAAGTTGTATGCAGCTGGGCTTTGGGTGGTCAGTGGACAAAGTGGCTTCTCAATCGAATTTTTCCATATGCATGATTGGTTGTTAGTCCCATGTGAGAGCCCGAGTCCCATTTGAGCATGTTTGTCTGTTTCCCACGTGTGAGCAGAGTCCCAAGTAAAGGAAAGTGTAAAGAGATCTTGTATTGCACATCGAATAATTAGGATGGTAAGTTTATATGCCTAAAGGATCTCTCCACTAATTGCCAATTGGTTTTGGATTGGATCCTCTAACATGTAGGCAAAAGAATTCGAAAGAACACAATCTGGTTCCCCAATCAACATCATTTATTTCCATAGCTGTATAAGAATAAAACTGAGCCAACCTGTCTGTCCTGGGGTATATTGGCCTTCTGTTTTGCAATAGCGACAGCCTGAGAGAACCCACCAATAGCATCAACAAGACCACGAGAAGCAGCATCATTACCAGTCCAAACTCTCCCTTGCGCAACTTCCTCCATTTTATTTACCTGACACACAATGATCGAGACTTCAATGTACTGTCTAAAAACTGCCAAATTTAAAGACTTAAAAAGTTGATCGACTACCATACAGGCATTGATCTCGACAAGGCTGCCTTATTTTGAAACTGTTCATATATATGTTGTGTAGACTTGGCAAAGAGTTCTGCTTCATCTGGTCTGCAAGGTAAATTTGAATATATTTCCTGAGCGGTAAAATCATATAGAAGGGAAAGCCAAAATGGAAACCACCAAAATGAGTGCCATTCATTCACAAAACAAGTAATTGTGTTGAAATTGAAGATGTCAGGCAGGTAGTTCATAGGACAAACAACAATAACTCTTCAAAATCTGTTTTCAACTTGGAAATGAAATCATTAGATAAATGAATGCCTCCCTTATAAGTTATAAAACAGAATGTGAGTATCTATAACAGTAGCATCTCACCTTAACGGTCGCTGATCAGCTGCAGGAAACTCAGCAAACCTTCCCCTAGATATCAGTTCCTTGTTGAAACCAATCTTTTCATATAGATTTCCCAAATTAAACTTTGCTAAAACCAAATATATGAAATAATCAGAACCTATAATCCAGGAAATGTAATTTGTCTAGATTTAGGATCTTATATAGTTCAGCCTTCATTTTGGCCCACATTACAAGCATATTAGCCAATATAACTACACTAGCAATAATCCGTGCTTGAAGGCGCGATTCAACATAAAATCCAAGTGCCTAAAAATCACTAAATCAAATAGCAATTTCTTTCTTTCCCTTTCTTTAATTACATAATTTGAAATTTATTTCTACCAATATTTTTGAAAACAAAAATAGACAAAATTTCCTCAAAATACATGACCTCGAAAAATTTCAAAATGTGCACACTACTGCATATGAACAATATTCGGAATAAAAATTGTATTTTTTAAAACAGATAGCGACAATTTTTTTTTAAAATACATGACCTAAAAAAAAAATCAACATGTGTACACTATTGTATATGAACCACAAATTGCATTGAGCCACAAATTAATTAAAAATTAAATGATTCATCTGGTAATAGAAATGAGTGATGTAATATAAATGAGCGGCAAAAATATGTGAGAATAAAATTCAAATGTCTAGCCCCCTTATTATTTTTTTTTAAAATACATGACCTCAAAAAAATATCAATATGTGTACATTACTGTATATGAACCACAAATTGTATTGAGCCACAAATTAATTAAAAATTAAATGATTCATCCTGTAATAGAATGGGTGATGTGATATAAATGAGCAGGAAAAATATGTGAGAATAAAATTCAAATGTCTAGCCCCCTTATTATATAGATATATACAATAATGGTGAAGCACTGACATTTTAGATGGACAACTCAATGCAACAAAAACTCACCCCCACAGCTAATCAATAGACAATGAATGAGAGAGAGACAGACAGAGAGACGCAACAGCAGAATGGGAAGAGAATGTCCTTGATGAGAAGCATTTCAAGGAAAAATTGAAATGCAAAGACATTAGAGAACATCCATGAAGAGAAGCATTTCAAGGAAAAAATTGAAATGCAAAGATAAGATACACCAAAACCATGTCCCCAAATTATGCACCCGGCAACTTTGTTAGCTGAAGATTCACCAGAACATATGCTATTCAGAGAGCCATGAGAACTAAATTCATCAAGGCAGATGCCACATGATTTATCAACAGTCATAGTAGTAGTACACCATCCAGCTTCAGAATAATTGCATATTTTATACACCACCCACATGCTATCCCTAATATTAACTGATGATCTATTTTTGCTTTGGTTCTACATAATAGGACTAAGGAGCATGGGTGGCTTCTTCTGATAAGGGATCCCGGTGTGGATGAGGTGTTGAGAGAGTTCTACACTTACGTGAGGGATGTTCATTGCCGAGAGAATCTTTCCATATCTCCGCGAGTGTTGCAATTTTCAAAATTTCTGCAGCCAACTACTTCGGGACAACTATAAGAATTAGGTTCCTATACTTTTTAGAGTTTGTATCCATGGAGATCGGACAGGAATTACATAGGTTTTCAGCTACCAAACCCAACACTCCTTTACCAGGGCTTGTGACCGGCTATCTAACAAAATAGGCATCAACAGGTTTACTCAAGATAAGCATAAAATGAGAATTTTCACATAGTAGCATGCTGAAAGGATCACATTGGTTGCCATATCAAATTTATCTTGTAAATGTTCAGAGCAAAAAGAATACAGTGAGCTGCCAAGTTCACCTGTGACAACTCCAATTGAACCTGTTAATGTAAGATTCTCTGCAACTATAATCCCAGCCCCCATTGCCATATAGTATCCTCCACTAGCCGCCACATCAGCCATTGATGCAATGACAGGTATAGATGCAGCCAGAAGTCTGATTTCCCTCCACATTCTATACAGCACAAACATTATAGCTTAAATATTAACCAGCAATAGGAACTTACTGAAACTAGTTATGCAGATTTCCTCCTTCCTTTTCAATTCTTCTGCTTTCTTCTATTGCATATGCAGTACTAATATTAAATTCTTAAATGGAAATATAAACAACCAATCCAACAAGTTTAACAGGAAAAAAAAAACTTAAGTAGCTAAATCTCCAATTATAGCTCAGTTAACCAAGACTTCACAATCTTAGGAAACCAAAAAACGCCAGATAAAAAGAAGTTTTACTTTACATATTTTGTTTTTTCAGGGTGGGTTTATATGTATCTTTTCTTCCACAAATTATTTAGTGTTTGTCAGCGCCAAATAGTTGCTCAATGCAATTAATATATAAACATGTCTGTGTGTTGGTTGCCCCCCGTAGAGGTGTGAGAATGTTTTGGTCTTGCACCAAAATAACTTTCATGTGAATCACATTTCTAATTCCTGCCCGTTGGATTATATCGTCTTCTCATTGCCACAATGGACCACGAATTTCATGTCTAAGAGTGCCTGCCTTGAAAATTAGTCACACTACAATATTTTAGAGCACTATTTCAATGCGACATTTGTAGATCTCTAATTGACTTGAAAATTTGGGGACCATGATGGCCATGGGAAGAGTATGCAATCCAATTGTAAATATTGAACAAGGTGAGGCTTACAAAATTTTATTCAGAATGTCCCAAGTTTTTAGTGTTGCACCAAGGGCCAATTTTGATCCCTCCCTTGATACATTTACTACCACTACTACTAGTAGTTCTTCTAGATCTCTTCAATGTTAGAATAAGATAGCTAAGACACTAGTGGGATATGACGCCCAGCTACCTCTGACATGCAACACAAGATTTATCTATGAAATTTCTTTTATCCCATGTCAAGCTCCGCATCTGTTCTTCCTATTTTCTTCCCCCTATTCACCATGAAGTCCACGTGTAATAAAAAGTTTAGGTCAACGATAGAGATAACCAAAAAAAACAATATGTAATAGAGGAAAAATTAGCTCCTTTACTGCAAAATCAATAATAAAAATCAAGAAATTAGTGAAAACATGACAAGAATGAACAAGTATTGAAATTAAGACTATGAACCATATTCGATCAACAAAGAAATAACCTAACCGATGAATTGACTTAGACATCTAAAAGGATTTTTCATGACTCTTTTCACGAGATGGGACAACACTAAAAAAGTCATGACCGAGCTACACTTACAAATCAGAAGCAAGAGCATCACCTCCAGGACTATCAATTCGGATGATGACGGCCTTATACCTTTTCGACTCTGAAACAAAATTCCCACATTCAACATAAAGGAAATGGATACAAATTAAAAAGCTGAGCTAACAGAATGTACACAACCAGGTGCTCCCTTTCTTTTTATTATTTTGTTGTTGCTCTATCTTAAATGAAGAGAGTACAAGTTATCCAACATAGACATTATGCCATAGAACACATGCATTAGATTCTTCTGATGCATATATTCCATCAGAAAGACGACCACACCTATCCAAAGTTAACGAGTAAACACTTTCTTCACAGGGAAAGTTTATATCATACTGAGGTTAGATGATACCCATCTGGCAATTGATCTGAATATCACCCATATTGCCATGCATCAGTCTATAAAAGATGAGGACACTCAAGCGCTGACACCAAAAATCACCATCAAGTTCAAAATCAACATAATTTGAAACATGAGACATGGCAAAAAAGTCATTAATAAGAAAAGTCATAGTCCATACAAACAGCAGGTTTATGATCCAGGGAAGCAATAAGGGTGGTCATAGTAAAGTAGTATAAGTGGTAGGTAGCAAAGGCCCTGGTGGTGTTACAACTGGCAAAATCCTAAAAGTGGACATAGTCGAAGGTTTAACATAGTAGCAGCAACAGTTAAGATGAAGGTCGTGGAAGTCATCGTAGTATGTAGTCGTGTTAACTCAGAAAATATATTCTGTTGAATCTGTTAAAGAGGATCTGTTAGAGAGTATGTAACTTACTTATACTTTAACAGAAAAATTTGGATACGATAAAATTTTGGTGGTTAAGTATACATACAAGTCACATTCCATTCAAAAATTAAACTGGATAAAACATACCTCTTACGCTACGAATCTTCTCAATGAATTGCTCAGCAACAATACCCGAACTAGGTAGACTAAATGGACCCCTTACACGACTTATGCTCCCGGAGGCTCTGAGTACAGCTATTTTGTCTTTACCACCAGATAAACCAAGAGTCCATTTCCTAACTGCAGAGTATTTCCTGTACTCAGGATGAAAGAATATCTCAATGACCAACATGCCTCCCAATGCAAGAGAGGTTTCATCAGTTCGACAGTAGGACAAAGAGAAAATTTTAAGTATCAATCGCTACTACTCAACAAGATTTACCAGACATGCTTTGATAGTTTCCAGTAAATCTTGTAAACTCAAAAGAAATTTTTCTGAATACACTTTTTCTTTTTTGAACAGTTCTGGATACACTTAATGACAAGGAAAAAAAACTATCTTACAATAGCACTACTTTCCAGATTAGTGAATTCTTCAAGTTTTAGGAATTTAATCTTAAATATCCATTTTGAAAGAGATATACAAATATAAATTTAAGAAAAAATAAAACGAGATAAAAAATTATATTCCTTAGGTAATCCTTTTGGAGACTCCAAACCATACACCTGTTCAAACTAGTAATTAGAGGAGGATTGCATATAGTGAAAAATAACATGAATTCTACAACTTAATACTGTGATCACTTCTGTACCATGAAACCAGAACTATGCTAGAACTGAAACACATTTAATATAATTTTTATAACATTGAACTGCAAGACGATAAAATGGTGATGCACAATTGACGCCAAGGTGAAAAAGTAAGTGGAATAATATTTCTAAGGAGACGAGAAAACAAAGGTCCCGTGCATTCTCACTGAATTCAGGGAAGGGAATACAGGAAAAAGGGTAAGTAAAATAAAAAAGAAAAAGGATACTACCTGTAATCAACTGTCGACAGATTTTTATCCTTCCTAGTTCCCAGCCTCTCTTTCAACATTGAGAGAACCTGAAAAGGCTTCAAATTACTGCAAAGCTATTTTAAGTCCGCATACTAATCAAAAGTAGATGTAGATGACAACATTCAGGTTTATGATTCATATTTTTCCCCAATATGGCAGCAATCAGATTCACAAACATGAATGATCTACAAAAGCCAATAAAATACCTTGACATGTAAACCTGTATCTTGTACTTATCATAGTGAAAAGGAAAACATGTACATCCATTCAATAGCGAAGAGTAATACTCAGGCCAACGTTAGTATATCTTGGAAAACTACTCCACCTCAAGAAAGCACCCAAGTGACATAGTATAATTTTAAGCATTCATGGCCCCCACATGGGAACAACAAAAACAGAGAAATGACAGTAAACATCACATCTTGTTCCAGTTGGATAGCCAACAGATCTTGGAACTCATGTTGCTAGAGAAAACCACAAGAAAACAAAAAAAATCAGGGACAACTGTTGATGATCTGCAATTAACTCAATAATTCGAAAGCACAAAATCATGAGATGGACATGTTAGCTTCAGACATTATGTAATCCTTGCCATGTAAAATAGGCTATAAAAAAGGTTACGGATGATTTCTTCCTATGTAATATGTATACCTTGGCCGTAAAGCATTGTTATCACATAAGTGGAGGTGTTGGTATCACACCCAGCTCAAAGGAACCCTAGGTGACACTCTCGTGGAATCAGGACGTCCCCCTCCTTTGCCCAACTGGTCCTCAAACCAACCCCATGTGAAGCAGCAAGGATTGAAAAATTTTTAGAGAGCAAGATTTTAAACCTGTAGTAGAAGTTACTGCACTTACCATAACTTTTTCAAGGTCCATTTTTTACCAGGCCTATTGTTGAACCAAAAATGCCATCATGCATGCCCAAATTGAATCAATGGGATACTAGTAGCAAACAAAACTTGAAACTTCTGTTTCTTAAGAAACCAGAAGAAACGAAAACAGATTTGGGGACACACAGATTAGTTGTTATCCAATTAACTCGGTAATTGGGAGCACAAAACTATAAGATGACACGTTACCTTTGTGAGCTTCAGAAAATGTGTATTCCATAGAATGCAAACAAGGTATTAGAAAAGTAGTTATCAACCCAGCTGCAATGTAATCATGACCATTTGATATTTTCAAAAATCCCATTAAATAGCTCAAAGTGAAAAAGATGATGTGTAAGTGGAACCAATACTACAGAGAATGCTGTGGAACTCTATGGATGTCAAAATGCCAATGGAAGTCAATGCATACAAATTACACCTGCAAAAGACCTTATTAATACAATATCTTAGTAAAAAGCTTGTTTGCACCTCATCTTCATATTTTATATCTGTTATCCAGCCATCTTCTTTCAGCCTTTCCACCTGGTAAACCCCTTCATTAATGAAATTTTCAAGATCTTCTCTTTTCTTTCCTGTGTGAAGAAATAAGAAACACAATGATCAAGTTTGACAGTTGAGAATCATGCAAAAAGACAAAGTATCAAAGCACCTTTTGTAAGAGAGACTTTATTTAGCCAATTTCCATAGATGTTGTCAAGCAATGCAGTAAGCATCTCACGATTTTCTTCAGACATATTTTTGCGTGCAAGTTGATCCCCAGCACCTTTATATTTACCAACCTTTTGAACTTGTGGGTCAATCCCAACTTTCTCAAGAACACCTGCAAAATAATTTTGGATGCCACCCCGCTGCAGTTAAAAAGGACTCAAGAGCATATTGTAATTACAGAAGAAAATTTAACTTCACAAGATCGCTAAGTAGTCCTATCACAACCATGCAAGACATCCTCGCAAAAATCAAACTATAGCTTGTGAACTACCTATTTCAGCTGCCACAATCATTACAACATAGCCAAGGCTTTTATCCTCTATTACCATGGGTTAATACGTTTAACAACCCTCCCCAAGATAAGGACTGGAGATGATCATATGTAGGTTTTGGGTATCCATGTTTGTGAGGATTAAAATGGCTATCAAAACTTCCCTACTGACAAACAAAGCTTTTGATTCTTTTTCCCTTTTAAGTATCCAACCATCATAAATAAAATCATATTAGGTAAGGAATTCAGGAGAAGTATAAATCATTCCTGTTATTATCTCCTCCTGTCAGATCAAAAAAAAATAAAATTATCTCCTGTGTAATCCTCATGCTCTACATTTGCTCCCTCAATAATGCAGCCTTAGATGCTCAACAAACGAGAAATTAGCAATGCACATTACAACAACAATGGTCCAGGGACAAGTACTCCTACAATAAACTTAACTGCCAACTATGATTCTCCTACCCCTCTCCCAGAGCCAATAAAATAATGACCTGCTAACTATCATACAGATTACAAAACAAGTCTAAACAAAAAGGTAAAAACATAAAGATCAGGCAACTTCCATACTGCTATCACACGTGATTATCAGATGACGTAAGCAGGCTAGCTAAGCTAACAAGGGTAAAAATGCTGCACAGAATGCAGTGGTTGATATGTACCCAGGCCCTGCTTAGCCCGAAGAACTGAACCAATGATCACCCCATGGCTTTTGGGTACACCTACTGTCCCAAAAGCTTTTGGTAGCCTTATGCCAACACACCAAGGTGGGGTCTTGACAGGATGAAGTTGAAACAGGTAGCTACTGGGGAACTTCTTGTTAGATGGAACTGTTTTGTGGTGGAAATGCCCTCTTCCCCAATTCCCATAGCCAATATGGGGGGCTGGATCCACTGGTGGGCATAGCCACCGCATCTAAAGCACATGTTGCTGCGCGAGTCACAAAACCCAATGGCTCCATTTTCCTTCTTGTTCATCAATCAGTAATCAAGACAAACCAGCACTATATTGAGACGTGAAAACACTCGATCCTTTCCTTCCTCAACTTGCCAAATCATGTTGCGCTGTATGTATGATAAATACACTATCAAATACTTTCTATAAGACTTTTGCAGAAAATAATTTGCCATAGCATGGCCCCTTAAAAGGAGGACCCACTAGAAGAGTTGAGTTCAAGGCATCAGTAGTCATCTTCTCCCTCGCCCAATTCATAAATGGTAAAACAGCTATTAGGGTTGGGACGAGAATAATCAACCTCGCTCGCCTATTAATTATCGAAGAGCCTTGACCCAAAAGGCTAAGAAAAATTCCATTGAGGGCAATTCACATTAAAAAAAAAAAAGGAAAAAGAAAAGGAGAGAGAAAAGGAGAGAGTAATGAATGGTTGAGTCCCACATGCAAATCTATAACACGAGGTTGGATGGTTCTTTCGTAAGGGACACATGAGAGATGATGCAATAGAACTCCTAGTGCTGAAGGATTCCACTCTATGTATGCCGTGCAATAAGGTAACTCCATGAGTAAAGGAGAACTGAAGAACATCGAATTTGCTCTTAAAACTAGTGCGAAAAGAGTATACTTATTCACCATTGATGCAGGACCATAGTGATATAAAGAGTCGGACTACCCATTACTTCCAAATCTTAAATTGTTAGAGAATGGGCCCAAAATTAAATTAAGCTCTTTTCACATCCCCACACTGGTGTGACCATCACTCACATGTGGTGGAGAAATACAACTAAGTGTATCGATATGCACACATAGAACATTAACAAGGTGCATAAGCGCACAACCATAACCAAGATTATTTCGCCTTCAATGGAGATGGAAAACTGGGAATCCAAATCAATTTCGAGACAAAAATTAGTTAGTCAAGACTAACGTGGGAGAGAACAAAATCAAGCAAAAAGAGAATAAACTTCTGGCACATTTATGCGAACAAAAAGGAGCACTTGATGGGCGCAAGGCAAATATTGTGTGTTATAACAGTGAAAATGAAAAAACCCATTGACTTCCAGTGGGTGCTCTTCACTCAGCTAAGGTTCCTTCATGAATAAGGCACATAATACAACCAATCAACAGAAGTTAAGAATCACAATCGTGCAACCAAAAGATAAAAATCCTGCACTGTAAGAGTAGCAGTGAAAATGCATTCACATCATATTGGATCCATGCACATGTAAAGTTTAATCCAGATAAACCACTTGATTAGCCCCATTTAGACCATAATGTATTCTGTGTAAGTAAATGAAAGCCATTAATTTCTGAGATACAGTATCAGCACAAAAGAAGACTACTGATAATTTTTGTAGGCACCCAAAGTATAAATTACCCTCAAATGACCTCATGATCAAAGGTAATTAAATTCACATGTAAACTTTATATACAGCAGTAAAAGATTCCTGGATCTCCCACTCATGCAATGCAAGAAAGAAAAAACCCTTCAGTGACCACGATCATCTGATCTTGATCAATCCATATGGAACCTGTCACATAACAGGAGAAATTAATTTACCTCCAAGGAAACCAGACTGAACTACCATGCCATACAAAGAGAAATAAGCACTTGGAGGGAAATATAGCTCTTCACAAGCACAGCCGAGGTAATACTCTTTCTCTGTACATGCAGGAGCATAACCGACAATGATTTTACCTACATAAAATCATTAATTATGAGAATTAAAGAACACAAGAAATTTTGGAGTAGGAATCTCGCAGACATGACACAAGCTTGACTCAATCAAACGTAGCTAAGCATGAAAGTAAGAGCCTCATCCCCACTTCCCCAAAGAAATAATACAAACTCATGTTCTTATCCCTATGAAAAATAAAGTGGGTTGTATGCCAGAGGCTGCAATAAACACAACACCACATTAGCACAAATCAACATAACCTCTGCCATAAGGCCAGACCTTACCTCCCTCTTCCCCCTTTTCTATCCAGGAAAAGGGCAATTATGGTGACCAACATAAGTGATGGGCCTTTTTTTATCACATAGTCACTCAGTCTGGTTAAGCAGGGTGTTTGCACATTATCAAATTTTTTGGATATTTAATTTTCAGGTTATATCAACCACACATGCAGGTGCTGGAAGCATTTGGACGAGCTCAATCCTTCACACACAGATGGGCACAAAAACATCCATCTGTGTTGATGTGAAATATATACAATCAGAGACCCCTAATTGTAGCATGGGTATGATTGGTGTGGTTGGGGATAATAATCTACCCATAAATGCAACATGTGTATGATTGTTGTGGTCAGGATAGGCAACTCCAATCCCATTTTTTCTTTAACTTATCCAGTCTTGGTCCAACCAAATTCCCGGAGATGGACCAGGGATTAAATCAAGGAACCTTTCATTGAAAATGCTCTAGTGCCAAAGAAACCATAAGAATAACAGCACCACCTGATTTTTTAAAGTCTAATATATGCCTCCGAATTTCTTCAACTTTACCCCATCCACAACTTAAGGGGTCAATATGTAGATAAACTCCAGAGATGCGAGGATCATATGCCGCTTTTGTGAAGTTCTCACAAATTTGAGGTAGAGATAATCCTGGAGAGAAACGACTCTTTAGTTGGTCAGATATCTGTAGACAAAAAGAACTGTATCACCAAATAAATATACCAGTATGTAAGCTAAGATATAGGAAAATATATATAATTTTACCCATAGAGGGAACAAAATCTTGGGCAAGGATCAAAATTTCGTTTTTCGTTTCGGTGCATTGTTGTGGTCGCTTAGGAAATGGGAACGTTTGGGAAACAAAATATAAACGGAAAAAAATATTAAGAATTTGTTTTCAAAATATTCTGAAACATTGATCGAAATATACCGAAACATATTAAAACACTTCAAAACTTTCCGTAACATTGGTGGAAACATGTCGAAACATTGGCGGGAACATACTAAAATAGCTCGAAACATTCCGAAACACTAGAATATCGAATCAATCACCGACTTCTTTCGATCTCCATGGAAACGGAAATATTTCAGTCATTTTAAAATAAAATTTTTGATCTTAGATTTGGAGCACGGTGCAAATCTTAAGAGGTTCAAATTTAACATATAAACTCATCATCTTCCAAACAAATCATAAATAAGCGCAGGACATTAGGGGACAAAAATGGTAATCCGTTATTTCTAACTTTGTCAATCAAGTGACAACACCGTCAAGTCCTAAGATCATTGCTAGAGCAGCCTTTCTTAGGTTCTTGCTATTAACATGTGTCACAGAAACCAATATTTTTCGATTTATATTCATTGAGTCATGTCAAGCTGAGTCAATATAGATAAGTAATTCAAAGGTTGTCACCTTTTATATAGAATTCTCCATAGACAGCAAGTGCAGAGAGCAAGAAGCTATTTATCCCTCAAGTGTGGGGACTGGGACGGATGGAACAGTGTCAGCCCAAGGCCTAGGTGCATGAGGCACCTGCCAAGGGTTCCACTCACTTAGGCCACACTAAATTCCATGACAAATCAAAAAAAACAAAGAAAAGCTTTAGGATGGCATGCATGGTCAATTGTGTCATTGTTGTGCTAGTGCGGGGTGCACATTATAGAATATAGAACAAGATTTCCACACGCTCAGTTGTCTAATGGTCATATGGTTTTTCTGTCTTTAATAATTTTTCCCTAAATTTCATGCCTCATTACTTCTCTCTTACTTTCTCAATTTCTCTCTCTATATTACACGTTAATCAATTAATGTCATACGCAATTTAATTGTACTTTCAAAAAGAAAATCACCCCATAGTCCTTTACTAAAGTTAGATTAGAAGGCTCTACTCTCTTTCATTTTATCTCACTTCCAATGATTCTAGTCTTTTTGTCCAGCTTTATTTTCCTCAACTCTATTTCAGTTAATTTTATTCCTAATACAATCACTCATACAAACACAGTTTTTATCTGAAATATGCCTGCCAAGTAATATGAATTTAGATTTTAAAAGTAAAGTAAAACGAAAAAAAAGAAATTAATAATTCAATCTAAAAAAGAGCTTATAAATTTGCTATGGTAACAAAAAGTCCTAGAGAAAAGAAGATACTGCAATAATGGACATTGATGAGCAGATCCAACATAATAATGACATCTATGAAGTGACAATCCTAAATAAAGAACCTGAAATAAAGCTTAGAACAATTGAAACAGGTAAATGAAGTAAAAAAGGAAAGGTTGGACCAGCCCTGGGAGGAATGGAGAATGTAGAAGCTGTGAAAAAGTATAATATGTGCAGTTTCGGAGTGAAAAATTTCCTAGTGTCCTCTCTGACTACCAAAGAGATTCATGAGACAAAGAAAAAATGCTGACGATGACAAGGAAGAAGAGTAACAAAAACAGAAAGAAAGAAAAAAAAAACTGCAAGAGCCTTTCCCTACATATCAAATAGCCCCAACGTCCATGAAGGTAAACAATGTGAGACTCTTTGAATAAGTGACATGAAGGCAACAAACAGTCACCATAGAATCTAAATTTTCACATCAGTGAAAACCGTTCTTCCCTATGTATTCTTCCAAAGTGTTCCTTCTGTATGAAAAATCCCCAAAAAAAATAAAAATAAGTTTCCACAAAAGACAACCCTTCACAAGCTTTGTATCAGTATTCAAATGAGATTAGCATATAATTCTAACCTAAGAATTTGATGACCAGATCTACTCTATTGAAGGTGATGTAAGTATCCTTTGACCAACACACAGTTCTAGCACTCAAATTCTCCAGTGACTATGAATGAATCACGGAAGTAAAGCATGGCTTCAGGCGGTAACCCATAAATTCAATCAGCTTTGAAGCTTACATCATTTGAAGATTCAAATTAACAAAAATTCTGTTGCTATACAATTTATGCATTACTTCAAATTTCAAAAGTTTGGCGTACCTATAACTGACATCTGAGACTAAATTAGATTAGATCAATCAACAGTTAACAACAGCTACTTGGAAATTACCAGTTAGTAGATTAACTGCCAATATATACAACATAATCATCTTTTGGGCATGTATAAACGGGCTTATTACTTCGTTTTGGTCCCCATTCATTGAGGGTGTCAGAACTCAGAAGGAATCTACTAAATGCATAACCTTATATTTTTTTTCTTTTTAACTGACAAATGTGTAACTAGCCTTTGGATAATTTGCACAAAATAACAGTTGTTCACATTCCAATCCACACCTTTATTGTTGTCGGCCAGACTTTTTTTACCATCACACCAGTCAATAGCCCATTCCAATAATAATAAATGGACTTTACGACAGTACCACATATTAAATACATCTAGGTTTTGAACATATTTTCTATACGAACACCATGATTTAATTTGTTAAAATCAACTTAAAATGATTCATTAAGTGAAGGTGGTTACTTGATAAACCTATCGGAACCTTCGCTAAGCTTAAAATAAAACAAAAAAAGATTCATCAATTGAGGTCTAGAACTTGAATTTCACATGTTCACTAACAGGTTGAAAGACAAGAAACCATTTGAAGTTGTGTGTACTGGTGTACAGAGCTGTTAAAAAGCATCAAGCATACTTGGTAATGTAACGTAAGAGGATATGGCAAAATTCTGGCCTGAAGTAAAGAAGAATCGCCAAAAAAATGATAATACTGAAAATAAACCAAACCTGTCCGCGCAATTTCATGGTCAAGACACTGCCCTTGCGAACACGCTCCCAAGGAAACGCAACAAGCATTCTCAGCTTCACATTAAACCTCTTCCATGCACCGAACTCTCTGAACTCAACCTCACCACTCGGATACTCAACATCAGAACCCTTTAAACTCCCATTACCACCATTTTCGGCCACAGACTCGGTCTCTGCTTCGATATTGTCGGTTTTGTCCTCTTTCTCTGTCACGACGTTCTCATTTTTGGGTTCGGAATCGAAAGCTCGAACCGAGAGGTTGCGATGGGTGCATAAATTGGGGAAAGAGTTTAGGAGAGGTCGAGGTTTCGAGAACGAAAGGAGATAGGAATAAGAATAGAAGCGAGTAGAGAGAAATGGTAGAGGAAGAGGTTTGGAGAGAATTGTAGAGAAGGTACCGAGTTGCACTGAGGTAAAGTGAGAAGTATGAAGAAGAAGCTTTGACATTCTCTCTCTAGCTTCTCTCTCTAGAAAGTAAGGACTGGGCAGTGTGTGTGCGTGGGAGAGAGACACAGAGACAAGTTGAAGAGTGAGCACCGAGCGAGACGGCAGAGAGAGGAAGGAGATGACGAGGCTGGCTTAGGACCACGTGAGTAACTTAATCCCTTAAATTCCCTCACATTTAATATATTACAGTTAGACCTTATAAGATTAGTACGTATATAACACATAGATAATATAATTATATACTAATTATAATTTTTTAAAAAAAAAATTAAAACTTTTATCTTTAATTTTATTTCAATAAATTATACAATAGAACATGAGTTTTGTTTATAAAATTTAAAATATTTGATATTCTATTTTTGATTATAATATTTTTAGTATAAATATAATATTTTAAACTTAAAATACCTAAGTATTATATACTTATAAATTTCAGAGGGTCTAAATATAATTTATTAACTGATATCTTTATCTCATTATCTAAGTGTTACGTGCGTACAAATCTTAAAAATCTGTATATAATATTTCAAATGCCAAAGAATTTAAATAATTAAATAACAAAGTCGGTAGACTCTGGGCATAAGTCTCCAAAAAAAATTCTGCAACAGTGAGTTTTTTTTCAGTTTTGTTTTTTCTATTTTAAAATATCCAATATTTTAAAATTTTTGTAAATCCCAATAAATCCAAAAACTAAGTTAATTCACCACGTTAATTAAACAATTAACCACATTGACTAACATAATTTTGTTAATTTAATTCCAATAATCCAACTAAGTTGATTAATTCATTAATCAAGCAAATCAACTTCGATATCGCATTAATTTAATTTAAGCAATAAAAAAACTCATCTAATAAGTAATAAGCAACTAACACCATTGTTTGATTTCGTCAAGTTAATTTAAAAAATTAGCCCATCAAGTAACTATTTATTCCCATTAACTAATTAATTTCATTAATTACGTAATTGACAACTTAAATTAGCATCTTCAATTTTGTTAACTGAATTTATGTAATCAACTCGTTTCTTAAGCCATCAGTTAACTATCCCATTAATCAAGCTAATTAACCCTAGAAATTAAACCTATGAATCAAGCAGCTAACCCCTTAATTAACATAATTAACTTCATTGCTTGCATTTAAACTCATCCATTTAGCTACTAAATCCAAGGAAATTTACCCGCCTAACTACATTGATGACTCCTCAACCAGCGTCGCCTCCACCGCCAAAGCACTGCCAACTTCCTTCAACCACCAAGGCAACACCCCACCAATCACCCACTACCACCAAAAACTATAATAGAATATCCCCTCCTCTAAAAACAATTTAAGAAAAATTACATCCAAACCTCCTAAAATTTATTATTTAATCACTCAGACCCCCTGATATTGAGATTAGTACGCTCGTAACACTCGGACCCTTATTATAAATATATAAATATATCTGATAATTAATTATACTTAGATCCCCTGAAATTTATAGATACATAATACTTAGACCCCTTAAGTTTAAAATATTGTACTTAGACCAAAAATACTTTTTTTTTTTTGAAACAAATCAGCACTTTTATTCCATGAATGAAAATTTACATTTTTTAAAAAAGGCTAAAAATGCCTATAACCAAACCAAGTAAGAAGAAAAAATACAAGAATCAATCAATAACAATTTTCTTCCTTAAGTTCTGTATTCCACGTTGATCCTGGAGCAGCAACATCTTAGCTTGCAAAGGAAATCTGATATATTGAGAAAAGTCTGATGAGAGCTCGTCCCTTACTGCCTGGTTAGCAAAAAAATCAGCTAAACAATTAGCCTCTCTATAAACATGATTCATGTTTTATTTTAGCCTTCCCAAAATGTCCATTATCTCTTCAAACCAGCCCCAAAATTTCCAGGCCCTTAAATGACCTTTCATTACCATGTCAACAATAACAGCTGAGTCAGTTTCAATGTGAAGCTGACACACCGTTAGTCCATACCTCTCAAACAAAATCAAACCATCTCTCAACGCCCTTAACTCAGCCTCCATGTTCGTACATACTCCACAAAAGAAGGAAGCAGCAAGCACTACATGCCCCCATTCATTTCTAACAACAACTCCTCCCCCAGCTCTCTCACCAGCTAACCCAAATTGCTCTAACCTGTATTTTATCACATCTCTCCACTCTCAAATTCTGTAAGAATTCTTGCCCAGTCCCGCTTTCCTTCACTCTAGGCTTAATACCATAAGCCTGCAGACGTAGACTAGCACAGATTCTTAAAAAAACAGCCTGAGCATTCAGCACACCCTCACCATACACCGTTCTACATCTCTCCCTCCATAAATGCCAGAAAACAAATAAAGCCAAACCTATAATCAAAATATGACTAAAAGATTGCTTATTATAAATCCTCACCAACCTCATCAACCTAACCATTGGAGACTCAGAATCAACAACTCGAAATCCACACAAAGCAGATAATTTCCTCCAAATAACAACAGAGTAATCACATTGAACAAACACATGTCCTACAGTTTCCACATCATGACCACATAACACACATTTACTCGCCAACATTACCCCAATTCTTTGGAAATTTGATTCCACCAAAACAGCATTTCTGTGGATTTCCAACTTAGCAGCTTTGCACTTGGACAAGCAACCTGCTTCCAAATGACAGAAGCTACCCTATCTCTTTCCACAGAGTTCCTCACCCTCTGCCAAGCAGATTTTATTGAAAATTCACCAGAATCAGTCAACTTCCACACAATCCTATCCTCTTTATTAGATAGAACAACTCTCGACTCCAGAATTTCTTGCTTCAACTGCTCTGATAACAAATCCCCTATCTTATGCCACACTGCCAGACTGTTCCATCCAGCACTTCAGAAAGCAAAGGGAAACTCTCTGGCATGCCCCAATTCTACTTAATAAAGGCCCAGATCCCAACCAACTAGAGCACCAGAAATCCACACAAACCCCTCTCTTCCCACCATACTTTGAGTATTTTCAATCACAGAAAGGAAAAAAGGTTGCAGCATTTTAAAACACTTAGCTTTACTCTTTTTATCACTTCTCAACATATGATGGCCCTTCAAAAATTTATTAGAAAACACCTTTGCCTAAAGAGACTTACCCTCAAGAATCCCCCAAACCTGCTTCATTCTGAAAGCCATCTGAACCTCCTCAAATTTCCTGATCCCCAATCCCCCTTCCTGCATACGCCTTGAGATGTTTACCCATGAAACCCTCTGTCTCCTCCTACTCCCTTCTTTGCCTGACCAAATGAAAGAAGCCATCAAAGAATTTAACTATGCAAGAATTCCTTTTGGTAAATTCATACACGACAGCAAGTGAACAGGTACTGCATTCAACACAGATTGAACAAGTACTAGTCTTCCCATGTGTGACAATAATTTCGCATACGAACCCTCCAATTTAGCTTTAAACTTGAACACAATATCCTCAAAATACCTCAGTCTACTCATTCCCCTAATTGGAGGACAACCCAGATATGTGAAAGGGCATTCCTTAATAGGAATCTGAGCAATCCTTGATAAAACCAACCTCCTTACCTGAGAGATTCTAGAAGAACAAATTAAAGAACTTTTCTGCTTGCTTACCCTCTGTCCAGAGCACCTTTCATACCTAGCCAGAAAAACCATCAATTGCTCCAAAGATTTTTTATTTCCTCTTAGAAATAATAGGGTATCATCTGCAAAAAGCAAATGAGAGATCAAAACAGAACCCCTACCAGTATGGAAACCCTTTACATTCCCCTGCATATACAACTTTTCCAAACCTCTACTCAAATATTCTTCTGCTAGTATAAAGAGAGAAGAAGAAATGGGATCTCTCTGTCTCAAGCCCCTAGATGTTGGGAAAAAACCAAACCTTTGACCATTCACACAAACTGAAACAAACTGTGAATGCAAACAATTACTAATAATAGTCACAAACAACTCTGAAAATCCAAAACCCCTCAAAGGTCTCAACAAAAAATCCCATTCAATCCTATCCTATCGTAAGCTTTCATCATGTCCAGCTTAAGGATCATGTTACCTGCCTCTACCTTTCTATCCAAATCTTCCACCATAAACTGGGCTAGCATAATACAATCTCCAATTCCTCTTCCTTTCACAAATCCATGTTGAGCATCAGAGATTAAAGAAGGCAGCAAAGTAGCCAATCTATTTGACAAAATCTTAGTCAATATCTTGTACAAAAAATTGCACAAGCTTATTGACCTAATCTCTGTAAATGAAGTTGGGTTACCAATCTTTGGAATTAGAACTAACAGGGTAGCATTCACAGATCTAGGCACCACACCACCCCTTAAAAAGAAATTCACAGCTGAAAGAAGGTCCAATTTTATCACCTCCCAGGCCACCTGAAAATTTTTTCCAGAAAAGCCATCTGCCCCAGGGGCACTCTCCACAGACATAGCAAAAACAACTTCCTTTACCTCTATAAGTGAAGCCTCTACTGTCAACTTATCATTATCTGCTGCACTAACCAATTTAGGAATAACACTAAACAAGTCTTCCTCCAATACATGATCTTCTGTCATGTACAATTTAGCAAAAAAGGCCACTGCATTATCAGCAATCTCACTATCAGTACGACACCACTCACCCTCCTCATTCTTAATTCTTCTAATCTTTCCCCTGACAGCTTTACCTTTAGCAATTACATGGTAAAACTTAGAATTTCTCCCCACTTCACATAAGTTTTTTGTTTCCAAAACAGCTCCTCCAACCTTAGAGTACCCTCCAAATTTCTCCTAGCAACCTCCAAATTCAGTACATTAGCCCCAGAGTACTCAGAATCCACACACCTTTCAGCATTCTCCAAAAACACCTCCTGTTTCTTGATTTTTTCAAAAATATCTCCAAAAACCTCTTTGTTCCACCTCCTAATTTTGACTTTAAGAAATTTCAACTTTAAAAAGAAATTCTCCATAGGATTATTTGAATAACAACCTTCCCAATTCTCAGACACCAATTTAAAAAATGAACAATCCTCTGCCCACATATCTAAGAACTTAAAATAAGAAACTCTATTTTGAGTTTCAGATTCCAAGATCTTAATTAGCAAAGGACAATGGTCAGAGCTTCCCTTGGCCAAATGTACCCTATCCAACCTCTGCCACAACCTTGAAGCTCCATGATGTCCATTACACCATGTAAAACTATTCCCCTCAAAACCACAATCAATTAATCCCTCAGACTGAACACATTCATCAAATTCTTCCATAGCAACTATTGAAGGATAAGCTCCCCCCAATCGTTCAGAAGAATTAAATATAGTGTTATAATCCCCCATAACCAGCCAGGGCATAGGGAAAGAAGAAGAGACATATCTCAAATGTTGCCACAATGGTCTCCTCATCATACACTCACAACAAGCATACACAATAGTAACTAAACAAGGATTAGCACCCATATAAGACATAGTAACAGTCAGAGCCTGTTCAAACTCTAAAATTACCTTCACTTCTACCTTCTCATCCCATAGTAACCACATATTCTTTCCAGCCAATGAATTTACCACAAAAAATCTCATACCAATAGCAATAGCAAAATTTCTCACCTTAACAGGATCCATTTTTGGCTCTGCTATTGCCAGCAAACTAACCTTATTCATCACAACTAGTTTTTTCAATCTACTTCTTGGAGCCTCCTTACCTGCTCCCCTAATATTCCAAAAACATAAAATTCATTATTAAGGGATAAGGGAAACATCACCTCTAGGACTTAGCCTAGGACTGGACTCCACAGAATCTGCTACCACTTGATCCCCTAAAATATCCAATCCTGCCTCCATATCTTCTGTCATATGTACATTGCCTTCAAGATCTCTTGACAAATCAGCTCATGTCTTAGAACTCTCTTGATCTGACGAAAATCCTCTATCATGAGGCTCTTTATTCCTAATTAAACCATACTCATCATCCATAGACATGTTTTCCATTCTCCGAACATCAAACTGATGTTCAATCAGAAAAGAGGAATTTACTTCTGGAGAACATAGTTTATTAATACCACAAACAAGTACATCTTCACCCAAATTCACCATTTCAATATTAACATCACCATTCCTTATCAAAGAGGCCCAGAAACAACTTCAATACTTCTCTGCAGCTCATCACCACCTACATGAACTCCCCCATCCACTTCCCTTGGATCCTCTTCCCTCTGATATTCTTCCTCTTCGATTTCTTGTGCATCTTTCGACATACCAGCCTACAAATTATCATTCCCATCCTTACTCTTTTGAGCATTCAAATCCAAAGACAGCTCATTATCATTCACAAGATTAACCAACGGAAAATCTTCTAACCCCCTTCTTTATTTGGCACAACAGAAGGTTCACCCCTCTCAAACTCAATATCCTTCTCCTTCTCATTTTCTGGATTCAAAACAGAAAACATATTGTTTATCCCCCGATTAGTAACAATCGTCTTTTGCCTAAATTCTTTCCTTGATCTCCTTCTCTGCACCTCCTGAAACTTCTCCCTACCTTCCCCTTCTTTTGCCACTTCCCCTTTATTCACCATACCATTCTCAGTCTCAGTCGACTTCCCCATCCCCTTACTCCCTCCTCCTACATCACCCTCACCTTTCTTTTTACGACACATGGAATCTTCATGACCCTGCTTCAGACAAACAGTGCAATATCTGCAATCCTTCTCGTACACAATGCGTTGCCATCTACCACTGTTCCCCCATGTCCCGCCAAAACCTCCTAGGATTTGAAGCCAGCAAATTCACTTCCACACATACCCTAGCAACTCCTGGTCTAGTCAGTTGCAAGGTCGAATTGTCAATCACCAATATTCGACCAATTGGACTAAGAATATCACGAAGACTCTCCCTGTTAAAGAGATGAACAGGGAAACCAGGCAACAATATCCACATAGGAACAATGGGAGGTTCAATCCCTGGATGAAGCTCAGGGAACCATTTGAAAAACCTGAATAAAAATCCCTCAATGTATGTGGCGTCCTTCAACCAAGTCTTGACATAGTCTTCCAAAAGATTAAATCGAATCAATGTATGCCTTGGGTCCAAGATTCCAACATAAAATTCGCCTTTGGGAAGCCATTTCGTGGTTATTAATTCTCTGATTACACCCAGCGATGGTTTACCATGTGCGCACTTTCCAATTAGGGTTTGACTGAAACCCTTCGAGAGCTCCTGAGTTTCTTCCGATGTCCAATACATCCCCGGCTCCCCGTTGTTGTAAACAACTCTCTTAGCTGCCTTAGGAACTCCAACCAAAGAATTCAACCCATTTACCAGTGAAGAATTACCAGAATCAGTCGAAGAAGTTTGTTCGATCGAAGACACTTGAGGTACCAAACCTTGAGATTCCAACGGAATTTGAGAAACCAGAGAACTCTGAAAAGATAAAGGAACCTGAGCTCCAGAGGAATTTTGACCAGTCAAGTTAATTTGAGGAAAAGAAGAAGATCGAGAAATCTGTGGAATCTGCGGAACTGAATTTTGGGAAATTGAATCATCTGTGAAACCAAGGGCAAATTCGGAGGCATATGAGGATTATTTACCAAACAATTCATAGAAGACTGATGATTCATGTCAAAATTGAAATCAACATTACGATTCTCAGCTATCGAGAAACCCGAAGGTTTCTTGAAAAGAGAAGCAAAATTCCTCTTGATATCCGGAGGTTTTGGAGGAATTGAACACTGAATTGCATTCGATTCCATTCAGAAACAAAGAAAGGGGATCAAAATCAGATAGATCTAGCAAGATTCAAAGAAATCAAAGGAACACTCCTTGTTTTTGTTTCTCGAAGATAATCTTAGACCCAAAATACTCCAAGAATATTAAATATTTTAAATTTTACCATCAAAATTTATGTTTTATTGTATTACATATTGAAATAAAATTAAAAATTAATTTTTTTCTTAAAAAATTGTAATTAGTATACAATTATACTATCTATTCAAATAAAACTAAAAAATCAAATAAGTAGTCTAAGTCATTCATAATAGAATATAAATTTTTCATTCAAAATTCATATTTTATTATGTCATTTATTGAAATAAAATAAAAAATAAAAGTCTATTTTTTTAAAAAATATCATAGTATATAATTATATTATCTATTAGAATAAAACTAAAAAAAATAAATAAAGGGTCAAACTGTAATTGACAACAATATCTTTTAACTTTAATTGAGGTAGTTTGATATTTTAATTTGGTCATTTAAACGACTAAATTAGATTTTAATAGATAATATAATTGTATACTAATTATGATTTTTTAAGAAAAAAAATAATTTTTGATTTTTGATTTTTATTTCAATAAATGATACAATGAAACATGAATTTTGATCGTAAAATTTAAAATATTTGATATTTTATCTTTAATTGCAGTATTTTTTGTTTAAACATAATATTTTAAACTTAAGAGATCTAAGTATTATATATTTATAAACTTCATGGGGGTCTAAGTATAGTTGATTAACTGATATATTTACAGCAGGACCTAAATGTTACGCGTGTACAAACTTCAAGATATTCATGTGTAATATTTCAAATGTCAAGGGGTCTAAGTGATTAAGTGACAAACCTTAAGGAGTTTAAGTGTAATTCTCTCAAAAACTTATACACAGAGACCACCACCCAGCATTTCTGTCTTTCTCAAGAAACCATATCCTCACTTGGTTGTTGAAGGAGAAACAAGATCTACTACCACCACCATAGATTGACGAGTTATAGGTTAAGGATTGTATGGTCAAAAAACAAAGAAGCACATGCCGAATTTGCTAGTTTCAGTGCAACCACACCATTGCAGTAGGGTTAGGCGCGCGTTGCATAGAGAGTTTTGCAAAGGAGTGGGGTTGGTATAACTAGCTTTCAGGATTGTAGTGGGTATGATGGATTTTAGGAATACAATAGGTGGTTGTAGGGGTGGTGTTTGGTTGCTAACTGGTGGCAGTCGGTGGTGGTAATGAAGTAGAAATAAGGTTGCGGTAGAGAGAAGGGAAAAGATGTTATGGGTCAAATCGGGTTGAATTAGTCAAATTCTCTTGTGATACTTGGGTTAGGTTTAATTTCATTTGGTTTTTATCTGAGTAATATAGTCATTTTTGTAGTTTTCGTTAGCTGACCATTATTGTGAGGGGGTGTCAGTGTAATTTTCTATGTCTTAGGGGTTCTGTGTAATTTTGTGGCAAATTTCAGAATACTTGAATGTAATTTACCCAATTATTTAAGAATTAGGCCAATTTCAAAAATAAAGGCAATGGAAAATAGGCAAAACTCACAAAATAAGACAATGGACATATGAAATCACTCCAATAGGTGCATGTATAGGAAATCATGGGGCCAATAAAAAATCCTAAATATTAACCATAAATCAAAAAGTTCTCTTCTTTGGTGCATATTTTATTTATTTGAGAGTTTGACGAAGACATGCCTTAGATATAACAGAGTGATCGAAAGATTTCTCTTAATACGTTAGTTCTTGCGAGCGAACTCCCGATGAAATGCAAATTACAAATTTTTAAAAATTAAAATGGTAACAACTAAAATAATGGGGACCTACCCCCAATGCATTTTTTTAATTTTATAATATGATGTTAAAATGGTATAAACATAGTTATGGAGATATATGAATCAAAAGAGTGTGACCATATTTGGAGGAGTGTGTAGTGCAAAATAAGACTATGGCAGAGGATCAAGTCTATTTAGACGCAAAAGTCCCGTTCGAATGCACTTTTGAAAGTTCTGGCAAAAGTAAGGTATATCCAAATGCTATAGTTGCATTCAAACGCGCCTTTGAAATTTTGGACATAAGTTTAGTTCATTTGAACGAGTGAATTACTTCCGAACGTGCCTGTTATAATTGAAGTACTTCAACACGAGATTTAATTGACTTTTGGGACTATTTGAACTCTATGGATCAATTTTTAGGGTTATTTTAAACAATTTTCAACCCTAAAGAGTCTAGGAAAGACTTGGAGAGCAAAAAGAAGAGAAAAAAAATGTTGAAACATTGAACTTTAATCGAATAAAACTCTTGTTTCATTGTAAACTAAAATACAATAAACTCAAATAGTGAACTAAACATACTGAACAATCACAACTGCTGCCCCACCACCACCCATCATGCAGCACCTAAAACAGTGAAAAACTAGTGAACTCAATATATTATACAAGACATAAATAATGAAATTTAATAGAATAAAATTAATTAGTAAAAAATGAATTTCACTGTCAAGTAACTGTGAAAAAAGGTCTATAACAGTAAAAATTAAAGTTGGCATAAAGAGTGGAAAAATGGTTGATCTTGGACACATGCACACATTCTCTTTTCTGTCACACACATTTTCTCTCCCTCTCACTCCCTCTTTCCTGTTGGACTAAAATAATTTTTTAAGTGTAAAAATTAAATTTTTGGTCGATTTTAAGCCTAAATTAAAGTAGAACTCATTCGTTGTTTCGAGTAAACTTTCATGGATTTGTATTCTACTCCGTGAAGAGAATGATATAGTATATTCACTTGTTCAAATCGAGTAAGAAATAAATGAAAAATAGGCTCTCAAATGACCCTCTTGAAATGTGAAAATAGAGGTTGTACAATATGAAATTTGACACTAATCCCACATGGTTGAAGAAGAAGTTTTAGATGGGCATATATAAGCCAAATTTGCTTTCTGGGATTGGGCTCCAAGGGGTACCAAAATTTTATGAACGGAGCGAGCACCTACATGCCTTCGATTCTACCCCACATGCGCACGCCACCAGCCTGGCTGGGGCGAGCTCGAGTGTGGATGTAGTTGTGGTTTAGACCAAGCCATATTTTTCTGGAGAATATTCGTTTAATTAATTGGGCATAAATTTCTTAATCTATAATTTAATTGTCTTCTGGCTGCATGTGTCTGCTGGGTTGTATTTGTTCATATGGTGACTGTCTGGATCAGTCATCATTTTCTCTATAAATAACACAGTCATAAAATCACTTTACATCCAATAAATCCAATATATTCGTAGTCATTTAAGGTAGTCTCATGCATCATTAAGACAATCTACATTTGGAGAGTACACAACATAATTTCTAGTTCGCTAGACGAGTAAATTGAAGTGCTACTTCTACTCATGCGAATATCATTGTATCATGGGAGGCAAACACTTTATATTCCATAAGCATCGTGTGTAGGGGCGAAATCTGTCTAAAGGGTATAGTGTCAAACATTAGCCTTGATCTACTTAAAGTTCAAAAACAGTTATTGTTCTACAAACATGTTAGTATTTATATTAGTTAAACAAACAATTACGTATAACTGTTTCAGTAAGACTAATGTAACTGTTTTGTTAATTCTTCTGTAACTGTTTCAATTTTCTGTGTAACTGTTTCACACTTGATTGTTACTGTTTTGTTAAACATTACATATTTCAAATCAAAAATTCTAATAAGTGATTTTATTATATTTAAAATAGCACAAACAACATCTCCATCTTATTTCTCATTCTTAATTTTTTTCTTTCTCCCCTATCTTTTGTCCCCCTACACGCACAATTAAAAATAGTGAACTTAACAACGATAAAAATAGTAAATCTAAAACAATGAAAATTAGTAAACTAAAACTAGTAAACTCAAAACAGTGA